TATGGCCCCCTTTGGGGTTTTTTTTTTTTTTTTTTTTAATCTCTTAGCCTCTCTTCTATGGAGGGCTATTAGATCTGTTGATCTCTACCTTCTGTAGAGAGCCTTTCTATAGAGAACAGTGGCTCCAGAAGGCATCTCTAGCAGCCCCCTTGATCCAGCCTCGAATCAGTCACCCTGATAGTGTTTGCACAGCATCACAAATGGGGCAATCTCCACGGGATGCAAAGGGGAATTATGACTGGTTTAGTACTTACCTCTACCAGTGATGTCTGTGTCTAGCTATTTTCCCAGCGCAGGGACAGGCCACAACCACCTCTCCATCACTAGTCGGGATTGCTTAATTCACCTTTTCAATATTTGTGCAAGTTGGAGACAGGAAGGGTGTATGTTAGGTATAAGTTTCCAGTCTAATTGAGGTGTGATATGTTTTTTAAAGTAATGCTGTTCAGACTAGTATAAGAGCCTTGTTATTCAGTGTGGTGGCCCTTGCCTGTAATCCCAGGGAAGTGAAGCCATTGGATTTATGCCCCCCCATGGGCGCTTCTGGCTGACATTGGCTCCCCAGCAAGTGGACCTCTCATCTCACATGCACTGTGGCACATGTGGCTCATATACAAACATGTCCATCATACATACACATACACTCCAAAATAAATATATTTTTAAATGTACCAGAATCTCTCCTGGGCAGATAAACAGGAACCCTGGGGTTTCTGAGAAGCTATAGGAAATCAAACCATAGTGCCACAGGCCTGTCCTAATCCTTTGTACGTGTAGGGCATGTGCTAGGGAATGCCTGTCTTTGTGGGTAAGGCCTTCAGGCATTTAAACATATGGCCCCATACTCTCACCAGAGAGTGATGGCCATGGCTGAGGAGCCTAGGAACTTACTGGCTGAGAAGGAAGGACCAGGAAAGGGTAGTGGTTCTTTGTTTGCTTGATGTCTAGTGAGTGCTCCTTGACAGGTATGGTAGACCTAGACTAGAGCATGGTGGCTTTTGTCACTAGTAGAGCCTGACCCCCCCAACACACACACACACACACACAGACACACACACACACATAGACACACACACACACACACACACACACACACACACACACACACCCTCAGGAGCCTCTGGAAGTGAGAAAACAGGATTTTTTACTAGCTCCTGGCATTTCTGACAGTGCCCTAAAAGAAACTTGACTGCTCCTTGTCACAAGGCAGTAGTCATCTCTGAAGCCCACTTAAGATTTTCAAGCCACTGTCACTGTCCCTGCTGATAAGATAAGCCCCAGGCCTTTCCACAGGGGACATAAACTAGGCTTCAGGACTGATGCAGGTACCATGTGCACATATGTGGTTTAGGACAGACTTGGCTGGCTGTTTCCCCAATGGTGTATTTACTGCCAAAGCAGAGGTGGTCTGCAGAGAGTGAAGGGCTTCAAGACCTCAAATGGAGCCCAAAGCCCCTCTCCCCCAAAGAGGCAAATCTTGCTGCAGCATCTGCTAAAACTGCTGTGCAGAGCTCACCACCCATTAAACCTTGCAGACGCCTGGGCTCTGATCGGGCCACCAACTCACTTCCCTTCAGCACCTCTGTACTGCTTCCCCTCTGTGACGGGAGTTTGCATAGCCTGTGAGCAACACAGCGAGACTTGGGAACTCCTGAGGTCAGGTCCACCGGAAGGGCTTCAGTTCATGCGGGTGCTGCAGGGGGAAGCCAGTGAGCTTATTAATCACTCTGGGTTGCCAGAGGCCAGCAGCTGGGGCCAGACCTTATGTTCTGTTGCACTCCATCACCAAACCCCTAAACAGCCAGTCTCTCTTGTGCAAACTTCCACTGTTCCCTTTCTGAAGGGAAGGAAGATAAAGGACTGATCTTATGATAAACCCATCTGGGAAGGATGAGGCAAAAGCCCCTCAGGGAAATTCCGTGACAGGGTGATGACCCAAGTGAGTGTTTAGCCTGGTCAAAAACAAAGCTTCAGGTCCCTCTCTGTCCATCCATCTTCATAAGGGATGCTGTGACATTTTGCATAGAGTAGGAATGTGGAGGGTATGCTGAGCCAGTGCCTCAAGAATTCAGACAAGTGGAGTGACGGCTCTAGCAGTACTGGTGCAAACAAGTGATTTCCCCAGTGTGCTGGATAGCTTTAGTGTCAACTTGACACACCTGGGTTGAGGGAGCCTCAATTGGGGAATTGCCTCTATTGGACTGGCCTGTGGCCATGTCTGAGGGGCATCTTCTTGATGAGTGATGTGGGAGGGCCCAGCCCACTGTGGGTGGTGCCACCCCTGGACAGGTGGGCCTGTGTTGCATAAGAAAGCAGGCTGAGCAGGGGCCAAGGGAGCAAGCC